ATTGTCTCTGAGATCGTTCGGGTCAATACGAATGTTTTGAGGTATGTTTGGGAAGATTTAAAAAAAACCCAGCTGGGTTTTTTTTAATCTTCCCAAACTATGGAGTTTTCTGAGTATAACTGGGCTACGATCTCAGAGACAATTTGCCCCCAAATGCTCATTTTTGGCAAGTAGGCCTCTTGGACATTGTCCTTTCAGAATATCCTGACAAATCCCATAATTTCAGAAATTTCATTTTTATGACGTCATCACTTTAGTACTCTATTTTTGGAGTAAAAGAGGTTTTAATGAATGCTTTTTGAAGTTGTGTAAATGATGACCCCCAGAATAGGGACATAAGAAAGTCACTGTGTGACTTGATTAGAAAACCTGGGTTACTGTCTGATGCACTTGATTCTCTTAAAAAGCTTTGCATTATTCTATCTGGCACATTGTTATATTATCAGGAGTGCAAAGCAAAGTCTGAATTTGCATGAAAATGTCTTTCTTCTCTTATGTGTTTATTTTCAGTGGAAGATGAATGCGTTGGGAGATCTACTCGTGAGGAAAGGGTTTTAAAAGTGAAAGGTTAGTACCTGTAGGTTGAACTGGAAAAGTAATAAATTATTTAAAAAAAAATTATTAAAACTTTTGTCGGGGGACCCAAAACTAATGTGTGTGGGATGTACTTGTGCATGTGCTTATTAAGTGTAAAGGTATAGATCAGCAGTGGAGCCTACACGTAGCTTCAAAGGTTAATGGTTAGCCTTGGGTGTTTGTATTACTGACAGTAGTGTTCTGTCTGTTATTTCCTATGGTTTGGCCAGTGATGTTTCATTATATTTGCTACTCTTGAGCATACTGTAATGATGATAACTGTCACCATATTGACTGAGGCCAGACTGTATAAAACTGTAGAGACCACATGGTGACTGTTTTGGACAGACTGCAGTGACTGGAACAATCAAGGAAAATAAATGATAAGGACGTTGTTTTGTGTTGGCATTTTCATTTTCTCCCTTTTTCTCAAAAAGTGGCTCCTTGTGTGCTAAAAGGGAACCATTCCTTTTTCATAGTTGCTGTGACCAAAGTTAGCATTAACCAGGGGCAGGACAGGTCCGTTATATTGAAGACAGCGATACTATTAGGCCCTGTTTGCACTAAGCAAAAGTTCATTTTTTTGGCAAAAAAATCTGTCAACAGGAAGCCATTTCTAGTATGAATTGTTTTTTTTTTTCACCAAACAAGTTTTCTCACATGTCACCAAAGTTCAAAGATGCTGTCAAAAAGATTTGGAGGCGTACAATTTTTGGTCAGGTAACAAACGCCTTTGTTCTTTGACAGCTATTCTTTGTTAAGTCATTTTCCTTTGAATGACGCTTCCGGTTGGGCGAAAAATTTTGCATCTCAGATGGAGTAAAAAAATTAGTGAGTGCAAAATTTTCCAATTTGTGTGGATGCCAAATTCAATTTTTGTCATAGTGCAAACAGGGCCTTATTTAGTACTGTACTTGTTTGTAACAATAGTCTCCTGTTAACAAAAATCATAGGATAATATATCAGCTTGCGAGGTTTTCATGAGTTTGTGGTAGCCACGTGTCGTCTCTTAGAAGGCCTAGAACTACAACCTATGGACTGCACTTTTATTTTTTTTTTGCTAAACAATGGAATGCTCTTCCCGAGGAATTAAGGAACAGTACTTTTCCTGATTTTAAGCAAAGTGTGCTTGTTTAAACGTTTGATCGGTTACACTAATTTTTATTTTAGGTACCAATCTTGGAGATCTTTTTTTCCTCAAAGATATAAGCTGTATATTGTAGCTACTCTAAATTTGAGTTAAAATAAACGTTATATATGTATGTATGTATGAGGCTACAATCGCCGACAAAATGAGTTGAGACACTTCGCCCAAAACTGGGCTTTTTTATGTTTTATTAACTTCAGAAGGACCTTTATATCGAAAGGAGGGGGTAGGGGAGGCACGTTACAACACGGGAACAAGATCGATGGATATCTTTTGTTGTTTGTGGGGTTGAAACTTACCTCCCCTGTCCCCTCCCCACGCCTAAGAAAACTTCTCGAAGTTACCCTATTTAAGTACAATGTCTCAACACTTTTGTCGCCGATTGTAGTTGCTATAAACCTGGGATCATGATTAAGTAAGGAATTTGGGAGGTAACCTGTCCAGGATTGAAATTATTGCCTTCTTTGCAGGTTTCTGAGGAAAGCATGCAATGTGTGGTGCCTTGGTGTTTGCTTATAAAATGCTCTCCAGGTAATACGTTTGGATGTTACGTCATCATTATGAATTTAATTTGAAAGCCAGTGATGTGTTTTTTCAGTCATAATCCACTGATGAATTATGAAAGACAATTTTATTACTGAGGCTTTTATTTTTACCCTTGCTAATACCTGAAACAAGAAGCATCAATCTTATTTTCTGGTTAATTCATTCATTCGTTTTTCCCTCAGAACACTGTGGCATACAGAGGACCATACTCTTTCTTTTAATTATGCAAAAAAAAAACCTTTCTACCAAACGGGGCATGGTTTCTCTGTTCTTTTGCAATGCACAAGTATGTTAGGTTCTTTGATAACAATGTCAATTAAGGGACAGGTTAATAAACGTTTCATTTTTATTTTTTGAAAAAACCTTGCAGTCTTAAAATAAACCACAACCATGAACTGAAAATGAAATTATTTAGTTGTTTGAAGCCCTTCTCTTCTTTATAGCTGTTGCATTTGCGCCCTGGAATTTTTTATATTTTTAACGCCTTAAAACAATAAAAAATATTCAGCGGGCAAATGCGTCAGTTATACGTCTGATACGCGTATGTTGCAAATGAATCCACCCAACGATTGGTTGAAGACAAGATGAGCACGGGACTCACAAACACGCACACTGCTCGTAGATTCTCTGTTCTGTATCACCTTTTCGCTCGAAAACAATGCGTTCTCCCTTCTGCGTTACACTACCTTATGAGATTCATTCTGCTGCCTCGCAGCCTCGCGTCTTCGTGAGGCTGCTCGTTGGCAATAACCAGCTTACAAGTTGGCACTACTTTAATTAGCTTTCAAGTTGACACTTTAACAATAACTATTTTAAATTATTTGATGGTATATAATTGTGCATTGCTTGTGATATTTACATAAATGAAAGATAAAACATTTGACAGAGAAATCATGCACCAATGTTCTTAGGAAGCTTATAGTTAACCATAGTTTTAACTCGTGCAACATAAATTAATAATTTAGGCGATGTTTGACATTAATTTAATATATTGTAATATTTTAATATATTACACACTAGAAATTAATGTATTTTATGTGGTAAAAAGCAAAATAAAAGAAATGAAATATGTTACAAAAGCTCTTCCAAAGACGAGATTTGCTTATTGACCTCATTTTTAAACATTTTTTTGCCCGAGTTATTAGCGTAAAATTGAAATCACTATGTTAGCCCTTAGTCAACTTTCAAACCCTAAAATTCACTGGAATCAAAGATAACCCTGGAACAATTGTTTTGTTTTGTTAAAAATCACCAGAGAACTACATCTCAATGATTGTATGTCTTTGGCTTTCGATGGGTAGGATGGAAACGAATTGCAACTTGAAACAATGTAGCCTATGTACAGACGCCCCCTTCCCCTCAGAAAAAATCGAACTTTTTCAAGTCAACGAGACAAGCTCCTGTGTTGTTGAAAAATGACAAAAACCTATCATGCTTTGTTTTACTTTTGATCCAATCATTTGATACCTTTCTTTAGAGTTCCGAGTATGAAAAAAGAGATAGTGGAACTCACCAAGACAGCCTGCAAGTAAGCCTTCCTCTTCCCTCCCCATCCCCGTACCTGGAGGCTCAGGGAGAGCTTGCTCACAGGTTATCCATGACATAGCCCCTTGCACCGTTCAGGTCTATCCAAAGGTCTACCTCTACCTCACAAGCTCATCAGGGACCTTACGATCCGACAAATGGCAACACCAGAATAAACTTCGCGCAATCTTAAAAACTTTTTTTGCCTGTATGCCAACCAAGTCACCCAGATACTTGAATGTGGGGAAGTTCGGGCTGGAACTGAAGAGGGGGACAGCGCCGTGTCTGAGTTTTAATTTCTTTGCTGTTCCCGTTCTCCCTTCGTAGTTGTGCCGGGAAGGGAAAGAAATTTGCACTGACCGGGAATAGGGAGCTTTAGCAAAGGCGACGGCAACGAGAACGACAAAAAGGCAATAAGTTTAAAGGTGATGTTACACGAGATGATTTGCAACGACGATTTTTAGCGCAACACAGCCTTGCAACATTGTTGCGACATCGCTTCGAATGGATACAACTCCCAGCATTGCAACGCTGTGTTGCGCTAAAAATCGTCTGCGAATCGTCCCGTATAACATCACCTTAACGAGCAAAACAACAACTTTGCACGTGCAGCACACTTTTTCGTTGATTTCAGTTTCCCGTCACTGCACGGTTACGGCGTGAAAATGCCTAATTTCACGTTTTGAGGTGATGTCACACGAGACGATTCTCAACGACGATTTTTAGCGCAACAATGGCGCTAAAAACATTGTTGCGCCATTGTTTCGAATACTTACAACATTGTTCCAACATCGCAGCGCTGCGTTGCGCTAAAAATCGTCGTTGCGAATCGTCCCGTGTAACATCACCTTTACAGAGGAAGTAAGCGGGCGGTGACGAATTTTTCTTTCTTTTTCTAAATTTGACGGTCTGGTCCCCCAAGAAATCAATTACAGGGAAATTCGCCTACATTTGAAATTTTCAGCGAATTGGAGTAAACCCGACAAAGTTTGAGAAAACGTGGATTCAGTTTTCAAAAAGTGACGATTTCTCTGCTGTCGCCGTCGTCGATGCTAGAGCTCCATAGTAACAGGCTGAGGTGATCATTTCAGTGGTTAAGCTTTTCCTTATCCTTCTAGAAACGTCTGTAAAACCCCTGACACTCGGGCTTGTTCATAAGTAATATCTTGGGAGTTTGCGTACCCTAACCGGCGCTACTTCTCCAGACTTAGTCATTAAGTTGCCAGCAAGGCCAATGGCAAATTTTATAGGCCACGTCGTGTCTCTTACACTGGCGTAATGCGTCCACAAAATCTCTCATACTAGGTTCTTTTTCACCTAGAGTCTTAAAATAGGAAATAAGAGAATGCGTTGGACTTTGGTTTGATCGATAGCATGTTTCAATGCTATTCAATACTCCAGTATCCGCGTTTAACGCCAGTCCAACGCTGTACCACGTTTTAACTTGAATTGTCTCGGGAAAGTCCATTTTGTCTTGGACGTAGAATAACATCAATTGCTTATCATGATCTCTTAACTTTTCCATAGCCGAGATACGGAGATCTGAAAGAAAAACACAGAAAAGCCAAGCAGTTCAGTGCCTTATTCTCACTTATAAATTTCGCGATTTGGGAAAAATCGCGAAGTTTGTTACTCGCGAAATCCAAAGTGGAAACCCTAAAAGTCGCGAATTAATGGCTCATTCTTCGCGAAATTTAATACTCGCGAAAAGGGTAGTAATGAATGTGAGAAAGACTTTACAAAGGGAAAACTTGGTGTCATAAGAGCTATGAAATGGCGTGACTTCACTATTTGGGTAACCTGAGTTCAGGCTTTTCGCTTGTGGTATCTGGAATCTTGGGCTTTGAATCCGGAATACAGCTCTAGCAATAATACGGATACCACTAACGATTGGTATCCGGATCATACAAGTTCCACTGACAAAGAATCCGGAATCCACTACCTGGTGTGGTATCCAGAAACCAACATTGTCTAGGATATCCTTACATAGGGCGAGGCTTTCGTCTCGCTTTCGTGATCTCAAGAGCGATTTTCCTATGACCTTGAAAAATGGCTTCCGTATTAAAGTATTCGTTATTTGTTTTATAAGCCAACTGATAAAAAGATCAAAACATGACCTCTTCGTTTTCCAGCCAAAGAAAACCCTAATAGAGCGACTTTCGTATGACCTTGAAAAATGATTTCGCGAAGTATTCGTTATTTGCTTTGTCAGCCAGTGGGTGAAAAGATTTCTCTCTCTTCGTTTTCCCGCTAAAGAAAACCCTAATAAGGGGAAGGCACTGTGCGATTGGCCAATCGCGTTGCAGTATGACGTCAAAGCAAAGTATCGCATGATTTCTAGAAATTTCTCGGGCATGAAGTTTTTTCACCCGAGCGTTCGCTTAACCAACCAAAAGCCACGCACGTTTGTATCCGTTCGATAAACCAATCAAATTGCTCTATTTCCGTTCGTTCATTGTTCCTGTTTTGTTCGCGCTTTTTCATTTCAAGGTCACACGAAAATCGCGCTATGGAGATGGCATTGTTCGATTGGCCAATCGTTTTGCGGTATGCCGTCAAAGCGAAAGTATCGATTGATTTCGCGCGTTTGTATCCGTTCGATAAACCAATCAAATCGCTCTATTTCCGTTTGTTTGTTTCTGTTTTGTTCGCGCGTTTTCATTTCAAGGTAATTCGAAAATCGCTCCAAGACATGATGTGGGTGACTTTGCCATTTCCTGGGCAGGGACCACAAGGTCCGCAGACTCTATTACAGTAAATTAGGCCCTATCACACTCTTTTTTTTAAGAATTTTTTTTTCTTCTTTTTAGCCTTCCGTATCCATGCAAACGGCGTTTTCGGGCACCAAAATCGCAGGTTTTTGAAAACGCTTGATTGCCGTTTCGTGCATGTGGACGAACGATGATGTCATACGTCATACCGGGGCTCTCTCTCGTTTTTGCGTTTCTTCAAAATGGACGAAAACAATTTGAGTACGTTAAGTATGGATACATACTTTTTGGAAAACGGAGTGAAAATATCCGAACAACAGAAAGAAGCAAGGCTGATTTGTCAGTTGGGAGTATATATATATTTTTTGCTAACATTTCGAAAGGCTGGCTTCAGAGTCTTGCAAATGACTGGAAAAATATCTGTTTTCCCAAATATCTGGATACGTGTGGACGAGGCGTCAAAACTATCCTGGTTGCATCACTGGCTTAGTTGTACCGTGTCCACCACTGACATTTTTGGACGCAAAGAAGCAAACAGTATCTGGGTGAGGGCTTCTCAGTAGACCTAATCCAAGGTCCACAAGTCGACTTTTTTTTAAGCGACGAAAGCCGAGTAGGTAGGTCAGAGAGCGCTGTCGGTTCCCCTTCACTCAGTCAAGGGTTGAAATCACCTCGAGCAGCACAGCTGCAAGGTTATCAGAAGCATTAACTTAACCGAGGCGCATTTTATACAAGGACTTCAGCATATATGTCCTACATTGTGCCGTGAGCAATCATGATTACCTCTAAGCAATCCAAAACTCAAAAGAAAAGTTAAAAATCAAAATGAATAATGAGGACGTCGAATCTCAATAACTGCTAAATTTCGGTATACCTTCTGGTATTTGTTGAACATCTAGCTCGCCATTTTTATGAGCACATACTTCACTGGTTACCTTGTCTTGCAGGGTTTCTGCGAAGGAAGAAATGTAGTGAAAAGAAAGTTGTATGTGTCAGTTTTGTGGTGGAAATAAAAAGGGAACCTGAAAGAAATCACCTCAGTTGTGTGACTTTAAAAACAGACTACAGCGAGGTTTCTTCAGTTAAAATGGAATTACACAGAAATATCGAAGAGTTTCAATGAACACCTGCGTATGCAAGAGCCGATTTACGCGGCTCCCGCCACGTTTCCTTGCGGCGAGTCCCCTGGACTCCCCTCCCCTGTTCTCGACGCAACTTAATCACGTGTTACACACGCACTATTTTGCGTTACATGGCGGCTACAGTAGGACGAACCAACAATTATGGTAAATATGTGAGTATTGATATTGTTTTATTTAACACTACAGGACCTTAAAAAGGAACACGTTTATACCTACTGTCTATCTACTGTCTATAGAGTGGGAGCACAGTACAGCCGTATTCGCAATTTGGGTTTCTTGAAATTGCACTTTTGTAGCTTGAGTCACGGTCTGTTTTCTTGTCCAAAATGACTCAAAATGTAAGAAAAGCGAGTTTTCGGCTTCCAAAAGTTTGCTTCTATTTCTGGCTAGAGTTGATTTTTTGATTTGCACAGCTTTTTCATCCGTACCTAGGAATGTTTAGCTTAAATGCTTAACCCTCAGCCTACACCTTTGACCATGTTTGCATTTTGCAACCCCATAAAATCCTAATCTTATTGCAGTGAAACCACTCGCCTGTGACTTGTGGTTCCACTTGAGTTGTGAGCATTTTGACGTCATTACTAAGAGTACAGACCATGGAAAATTGTAGCTGACTTGTTAATTCGAACACAGAATTAGGTTTGCCTTTCCATAGTTACTCATGAAGCCCGGTACTCCCTTATAAGGGCTTAATGGGGACGTGCGGCCAGCCAGGGTATGTTTTTCGGGATTTTTGTCTTAAACAGGGTATCGAATTTATCTTTTTTTGTCTTAATCAGGGTATCGATTTATCAATTTTTGTCCTAAACAGGATATCTTTTCTTGGACGATAAACAGCAAAATTTTTACAAGCTCTAATGTTAATTAAATGTCTTAAACAGGGTAACAAAAATCGGAATTCTGTCTTAAACAGGTTAGAAAAATCAGCGATATTTGTCTTAAACAGGGTCAGGGTTTGAGGGGCCGTGCCGCACCTTCCCACCCAGGGAAGTACCCCACCCCCCCGGGTCATGAAGCCAGTCAAATAATAAAAAGTCTGTATATTCTAACAGGCAAATCCCAGGATTTAGCTGCCAGCTCATTGTGCAGGAAGTCCAGGACCAGGCTCCCCAGTGAAGAAAAAGGCAAATATCAAGGTAAACAGCACAAAAAATTCAGCGAGCAAAGCAAGGTGAATTTAATTGGGGAGTGAGATGAGGGGAAAGGGTGGCACTCCTTCTCCTCCTCAGTTCCTTGGTCCATTTCCCATTTTTTAACCCATCCCTAACATTTGCCCTTTTTCCCACTATTAAGGAGTGTAGTGCCTGTCTAGCTGTGAGCCAGACACATCACTTGAAAAGCTAGATACTGGACTACACTAGCAGTTTAGACTGATTGCAGTGGCGGATCCAGACCTTCACTTCAGATAAGAGGGAGTGGGGGGGGGGAGGGGCAGGGCAGTCGTCCAGACCCTGAGGTAGGGGGGGGGGGCTCAGTTTGGTCTAAAAATAAAGGGGGCCCTCCCCTGGATCCACCACTGGATTGTTACAGACACTAATAAGGATTAGCTGCTAGAGGGAAACATAAAAATGATCTCTATTGTCAGATAGCTCGAGATGAAACGGTGTTAATCAGAGGAAGGGAAGGATTTTTACTGATTTTTAGTGAGGCCCTCTTATGGGGGTACGTATGTCCCTAGTCTGAATTTCAAACACAATTGCAAGTTTTGTTTGAGTAGGCCTTGTAATTGTCCGTATTTAAACCATTTTTATTTTGTTTTCACTATTTCATCTAGTCTTCTGTTGCTGCTGTCTTCAAGGCCATGTAGCTTGCAGGAATTTTAACCCAACGGGGCCTCATTAGTCAGTAAACCCAGGGACACGTACCCACTGACAGTTTTCTGTAAAATATCTGTTCGGAAAAACAAAATATTGCCTAGAATTTTCTATAGCTGGAGGAAGGCTAAAAAATTTCTTGATAACCGCTCTATTCATTTACAAGTTTTTAAGCTTATCTAATAAATTCCCTACCATTTTCTAAAGCTTAATTTTGCGCATTTCACTCTCTAGGTTGAATTATTTTTCATAGAAAAAGGAAACCTAAAATTTTCAGATTTGAAAATGCAATAGAGAGAGGAATCAGGAAAACTCTTACTTTTGTGATACTTTAAATTGCACCTAAAATTTTCAGCCCTTGTAATTTTGAAAAGACTCAAGTTGTCCTAGCATGACTGAACAGATAAAAATTTTTTAGCGTTGCTTAAAATACATTTCTAGCTATCTAAAAGTACTCTGGATAGCCTAAAAAGTGTTTTCAATGCATTTCGAGGGATTTAACCATCATTGGGTGCCCCTGTAAAACACTTCACTCAAAGTAAAAACCCAGAAATACTATTCATGATTTGATGGTTGCAGGGTTTAAAATGAATTAAAGGGGTTGTGTCACGGCAATCCAGTTCATTTTGTTTTATTTTGCCAATTACTTGCCCTCAACTCACTATGAAACTTAAAGTAGGCAAAGAAATTACATGTAAATGACAAAATCAGTAGCCTGCGAAAACATCCGTTTCTCCTCACTCTTCGCCGCTCGCGAAACGTCCCCAGCGGGGAAGAGCGAGGAGAAATGGATGTTTTCGCAGGCTACAAAATCAGAGACTAGAGACAAACAAATATGTCCCCTGAGCATTATTTTTGAAGCTGTCAACAGTAGAGATAAACTTTGAAAAACTGTTAGACTGAACAGTTTTCAAAATCCCTAATTTCAATCCGTTTCAATCTTCTTCAGTTTTGCCCATCCATGGCATCTGTTGTATCTGTTGTGTTATTTTAACCTATTTTAAGCGGTTATTTTTATGTTTCTCTTAATTTATAACGGGCATTTTGCAATAACCTAATTTGGCTGAATTTCGTGACACAGCTCCTTTAAACTTCTTATAATGCTCACCAGATGAAGAGGCATTGGAGTTTGTATTACTCTGATCTCCAAGCAGTGGTGTTCTTGTTTTGTCACAAGCTGTTTACCAGAAAAAAGAAATATTTCATGCAACAAGAAAGCAGGGAAAGGAAAAACTAAGACAGAGTATATTGTAACTCACAGGAATTAAGAAAACATTAACTAATCTGTCGTCATGTTCTGTGATACAGATCTAGAGTGTAATAAAAATTTATTAAATATTTGTTAATTGTTGCAGCCACAGTTTAATACTTAAGTGAATCAACTGAATTCACAAATTGAAAAGACATTTTTATTTTTTGTTTCCTTGCTACTTTGAGACTCATCAATTAAAAATCAGCCTGGGTCACAGTATTTGTTTTTGCATTTTTAAAATTATAAAATGATTTAAAAAATAAACAAGGTTAACTCGGTTTCTGCTGGCATATTGTTGCAGCAAAAATGTTTTCCTGATACACTAGCTGAAACTGAAGGCTTTCATCCTTAATATTGTTGTCCAGTTTTTAAACTGTTTTATGTGATCAGTAATTCAAAATTTTCCTCTGGCTTGCTGATTATTCAAGTTTTTGGCACTTGAGTGTATAATGTAACCTCACTCAACAAATATTCATTAATTACCTCTTATGTGGTGTTATTTTTGTCCAGCAAGGAAAATTATAAAGGTAAAATGGTACTTCCAGTATATATATATATATTTTTATTTATCAATACCTTGACTATAATATTTCCTAGGTGGTCTGTCGGGTGGAAGCTGTTCTTTCAGTTGTAGTTTGTTACCTGTAAGAAATTGATTTGAAAGTCAAACAAACTGCATAGCGTTTAACTGTAATAAGTGTTAATCACTGATTTGACATATTGCGGTAACTTGATTGATTGATCAATATTTTTTTTTATGAAATTAGTGCATTTTTTTTCTTTTTTAATTTTTAATGTATGGAAACTTGGCTCTTAGCTGGTTTGATGTTTTTATTTACTTAAAACTACCTTTAATCCATAATTATTACCTGATTTATCATGATGATCAAAGTTGTGGATGTTTGATTTGCTTCTGTATTTCTTTATCCCAAAATATGCAGCAAGAATGAAGATGATGGTGAAGGCTGCTCCACATGTACATCCTACAATAATTGCTATTTTCTTGAAATCTTTAGAATCTTGATCTGTTGATTGATCGTCTTCCAGTGGTGTAGACCTCACCCTAATGCTGGAATCTGCTGAGGTTGAATTGCTAGCGGTAATTCCAGATGTGTTGACAGTGGCTGTAGTAGTACCTGGAGACTTTGTATCTGAAGTTGCCATCATACCTGAAGGCTCATTGGTTGAATTTCTTGAAGCAAGGATTGCAGTAGCTGTTTTATTTTCAGGTACAACTTTACATTCATCAACAACAGTATCCATGTAATACCCTGACCTACATGCAGCTGCACACATACTGTTTTGCCAAGGGGTGCATTTCTGTAGCTCAATTTTAAACCCACAATGATTGCAAGATTTACAGTAGGAAGTGTCATTTTTCTCACTATATGTCTCATTGTACACACAAGGCTTGCATCCTGTAGATGTTCCATTTGGAACTCTGGATCCACATTGTTTTTCGAGCCCTTGTCCAGGTGGACATGTTTGACATCTTTTGCAAGTTTCTTGGGCATCTGGATTGTTTGGGTCATAAAGTGTGAACTCCTTTGGTGAACAACTTTCTGTTGTCTTTAATACAGTTACCAAAATTATTGTCACCATACATGCTTGCAGAGGTCCCATCTGTAAAAAAAAAAAAAAGAACATGATCGATGTAACTTTCTTTAGTTCCTGGAGATAATGACAATGGAAAAGCCAAAATACTTTCCTCAAACGTCCTTCCAAGTTATTCTGTAGAAGGCTCTTACATTGTACATAATAAATACAATGTGAATTTCATTCATTATCTCTTATAACTAAATTAGTTTTTGCCCATCCTGCGAGCAAGGTCTCTCAGATGATGGGGGCCCAAGTAAGCTTGCACAGAGGAATATTTTTTCGATATATATTATACGACTCAGTAAGGTCTTGTTTCTTATTAATTATAGAATAACACCATTTACCGTGAGGGAAAATTAGATTCCACACGTCTTGAGTATAATATAACGAAAGTACTCATGTACATTGGTAATATTACAGCCAAACACATGAGTCACACAGGCAAGCAACACAAATAAAAAACACAAAAGTTTTGAAAATGCAGTGTAAGACATCTAGAGAAAGCAAAGAAGCCAAAATTCGCAAGGTCTTCCAGGATTAAATTAACTTATTAAAATTACGTATATGAGCCTTTTAATAGTTCAGTGCAGTTCAGTTTAAATTTAGCCAAAATAAATTACTATACAAGACTACATATAAGAATTGTAAGTTGGCAAGGGAGTCCAGAAGAAACCAGAAGGCTTTTGAGGCCTGGGCTCCCCAGTCACAAAGAAATAAGTAAAGTGAAAATTCGCGGACAGTAATGCATTAAAAATACATGTAGGAACGAAAAACTAAACAAAGACTAATTTAAGTTAAGAATTCAATAACAGGAAAGAAGAAAGTTTTTAACTCTGGATTGGAACGAATGTAAGGGGGGGGGGGGGGCATCACAAATGAAAGCATTCAGCTTATTAAAGAAAACAGGACCTTGATACAAAACGGAAAACTTTTTTATGTTGGAACGGCAGAAAGGGATATAATAGGGTAGACCAAAGATTGACACGGAGTCTCTGTGTCGATCTTTGGGTTCGCTTAGTGCAACCAGTTTAGGAATTGTAAGATCTTGTGTAAGAATCAATGTACAGATTTATTAAATTCGTTTTTTTGCAGGTGTACATGTACTAGCGCCAAACAAAACTTTGCGTAAAAAACGCCGTCTTTCGATGGTTCCTTACCTTCTCCATTGAAGCTATAAATTGGCATATGATGTTGATTGATGTCATTGATTACCCAAGCAGGACAATTCTTGTGAACGCAAAGAAAATCAGGATTGTTTTTTGATATGAATAATTACAGCTTAACTTGTTGTCGTTCTTGCGATACGATACGTTTGTGCTTTTTGGTCAAAAGAACATACCGTATGGTTGTTACGTAGTATATAGAGATCCGTGAAATTTGTTGGCTCAGCAAAAAAAATGATCGGCAGCTGTGTTTCCGTTTCCGTTTCCGTTGTTGGGAAATTGCACAAGATTCGTTGCCGCGAGTGCTTATCGAGTGTCGTGGTGTATTAAAAGCTATTAAATTAAATGAAGATAGCTCATACTTACGTCTTAATGTATGCCGTAATTTCTCCCACTATAAGTTTGCGACACAGCTAACTTCTCGAAACACTAATTTACAGCGGTGTATAAGATGACGTCATACCATAACATAACCACGTGATCGTTTTATTCCCTTTTCTTTGAATTGAGCATGTACTTTTATGATAAACTGTCCCCGTCACTAAAGTTTTTAATTAGTTCTGATCTCTGGAAAAGTCTTTCTGTTCATCTTTTACTTCATTTTGTTTTGCTCATTCCTGGGACTTCGATGATTATTCTGTGGTTATTATGACGTAAATCATTTCCGTCGTAGTGGCGAGAATGCGTCGGAAATGACTTCACTGTTTCTTTTTTATTTATTTGTAAGCAGAACACTTTCTAGAATAATTTTCAATAGTAACTTTTATCCGTTTTCAAAATGTGATCGTAACAACAAAAGTCGCTGAAGTAGTGATTCACAACACGTACACAGTGGTGAAGGAAGTCGAAAAGTCTGGCCGTCCGTTAATAGCCTCCAACGCGGACGTATTTATTTCGTCCCCGTGAAACATTATTGAACTGGCAAAGACTAATTAGGAATTGAATTCAATGATCCGTAACACAGCTTAACAAGTCGTTCACGAGATTCCTATGGCCTTAAGGACTTTGTCGGGTGCAGTTTATTAACATTAAATATTGATCCGGTGCCGGGGGTGGGGGGGGGGGGGGTAGGTGTGTGTTTTTTTTTAGACATGAAAAAATAAGATAAATAAAAAAAGAATAATAGAGTAATAAATCCAACCACGCACAAACCCACTAAAAGTCTTAGTATCGTTTTTTGTTGTGGGTGGGGGTTTTTTGGGGTTATTGTGTTTTAATGAGATAGGGGGGGGGGGGGGGGGGGGGGGGGGGGGGGGGGTACTCCCTTACATAAGCTATATAGGTATGTGCCGCCCCATCGGGTAGGGTTTTTGCGCCGTTTTGAACTCAAAACGAGTATACACTTTGCCCAGTTTGGTGTGGAATCGGGTATGGTTTTTGAGGGAACTACGAGAGTGTATGAACGTATTCATCGTTTCAATTCCAAATGAGTAAGAAAGAAAGAGAAATATGCGAATTCGAAATGGATTTATGAGTCTGTTTGTTTGCGCTCTAATCTAAGTAATGATGACATATATAATTTCTGCCTAAAGGCCAGGTCTGAAAACGGGTATGGATTTTAGAGGTCTGGTCTAAAACGGGTGTGAAAAATTAAATTTTTTGGTCTGAAATCGGGTCAGGATTTGGAGAACCGGGCGGCACACTCCCACCAAGAATTCCCAGGAGTACCCCCCCTCGGATCTGGTGTTATTTAGTACTGGAATGCTGCAAGGTATTTATATTAATCAGATCTTCAAACGTAACATTGAATTGAACAATGTGAGCGCAGTGAGCTTACTTGGTAATATCAACTATCGTTTTTAAATTCGACATAACACTTCACGTTTGATTATGAACTGCGTCTGGTTCTCGTATTTAGACGTTTAATTTACTCGACTTACCGGTATGATTCAGGTCATTCAGTTCGGTTCAAAACTCGATTCCTTGAAATTTTGTTAAAAAAGGAAAAAAAATGCTCACGCTCCTTCAGTTCCTTGTAAAGCTTACTCAGAGCGAATCTTCTTTCACCCTTCCAGGTATTGATAGCACAATGATTTGTACTCCTGGTCTGGAATGACTTCTTTGATAATTGTATCTTTATGATTTGGTGTTTGATAAACACTTATACTGTACACTCGTAAAGGTGTCAATAATCAATTGGACGATCGGGCATCTATTTGAATTTACGGGGTCCAAGGGGGGCGTTTAATAGTAGCAGGCGTTTAAAAGACCGTAGGCGTTTATAACTGTAGCAAGCTCAACAAAAATAACACGCTTTCGGCCAAAATATCAAGAGAGTCTATAAACAGCAGTGACTATCCTGTCCTTGAATGACCTTGTAGTGATACGTCCGTTTAGAGATTCATATCGTTCTTTCAAATCTTGACATCGATATCAGAATACTTCAGGGTCATTGAATGGAACGTTGTTACAGGTTATCTCTCTAAAGTATTAGGTTTCCCGCCAACTTGATCGATCGTGTGTAATACACGCATTTGATGACGTGATGCGTGGACGATCTAGTTTGCAGTGCCTCTCTTTTCACTGGCCTTTGAAACACACTTGTTGTTTTTAGGGCCAGGTAATCTATGTTTTCGTTTGATAGTGAAACATTTCGTTCTGAGAGCTTCGTGGCGCGACTCGAAAAACTGCTCTGCGCTCGCTCGCTCACGCAATATAGCTTGCGTGGTAAGAACAGTAAAGGGGAGGGGCAGGGGGAGGGGAGAAAGGGAATATATAATCATCCTCCAAGGTGCTAGCCCATGCCAGGCTCTCAGATAGTATAGTGCGGACGTATTAAAACGAGCAAAGCGAAAATAAGACGCGCGCGACTTGCGCGTTTTTCGAAATTCTTTTTACTGAACGACTTTTCACCACTGTATCGGAGCCTGGAACAGGCTACCAAGGTGCTAGGCGTTTTTCTAGAGCTCGTTTTTCATCCCTCCCACAAATAAATGTTGGGAGGGATGAAAAACGAGCTCCTCCAAAAACGCCTGCGTGGGAGGCTACCAAGGCGGCTCGCAAATTACCTTCATTTATGGTTTTTGAGCGATATATTGAAATAGCTTTACCATACCAAAGAGCTTTGAAAGGTCCACCGAACGTGCTCAAGTTTTAGTCAACTTCCTTTCTATCTGTTCGTTGCCGCTATAGCAAGCCACTTTTAAACAGTTTTCTTCAGTGCTCTTGAATAGTAACATTTTGCTATTGTGATAAACTATTAACGCAATCCTCTTTGTGAAAGTGTTTTTGATATCGGTATCGTTTTGTTTCCATAATGTATGCTAAATTCTAATGCTTTGGCCCTGTCAACACGAAACGTAACACCCGCCCTCATGAAAACGCGCGCCAATACAATGACACCCGTTACAGCGCATGCGTAATGCTAGTAGTATAGCATGATATTCGAAAACCTCCGTTTTCGTCCGTCCACACGCCGCAAAGGAAAAGCCAGCGTTTTAAAAAATCTCCACTCTAGGGACCGTTTTGAATACCTACTTTTTTTGGTGCTCGAAAACGCCGTTTACTTGTGGACAGAAGACCACAACGGCTAGAAAATCGCCCTTTTCCAAAATATCCGGATACCTATGGATGGGGCCTTTATTTTCCTTCTCTGTGCATTGATTATCAATGCATAAGACAGAGTCATGATCGTATACTCACGTGTGTGTCGGCGCTTATCTCAGTCTAAGTTAAGGTACTCTGCCCTATACGTGGGCGATCTAAATCTGCAAGCGTTCCTATGTTTTTGCGGGTCTCATGACTGAACTGTCTATTGACCCCTCTCTAATCGCCCTCAGTTTCCCATACAAGGTGATAAGTTAACAAATTTGATCAGTTTGTAAGCATTTTTAAAGCCCTGAAGTATGAACTATCGTTAAG